CCCCCATCTTTATTTGCATAACAGCTTTATATGGAACCCGTAGAAATTGATTAAGGCAACTGAGAAATGACACCGACTAAAAGTTGCGTCCAAGCCCTACTCGTAAATGATCTAAATTGTGTCAAAGGGGGCATTAAAAACATGACAAGTTGGCAAGCCATCTATATGAAAATGATAGGCACACTCACCGGCCTTGACCTCCTTGACATAGTTGCTGGGGAACCAGCCAGTGCGGCCGTTCAGCGTTCCCTCCCACCATCCTCCATCCAGCCACTGGGTCACAGTGATGATGTCACCTTTCTTGAAGCACAGCTGGACACACAGAGAGAAAAACAACACAGAAATGAATAAATAAATTTAACATAAATATTAGATAAATAAATAATGACCATGATCAGAGTATTGTAAAGAATCTTAGTTTAGTTTTGGTGATAGTTTCACAGTACTTGCAACACAATAAGGTCATATAAGAACAGAAGATTAGAGGTGCTACAAGAGAGTGTCAGAGTAACAAACACAAAAAAGTAGGCGAGATAAGAACGACAGAAGTTTTAGTTTTAGTTCAGGTTTTTCGGCACTCGCAACTGCATAAGGTCATACGAGCACCAAGGGATGGATGTCAACAAAGCTGTCTTCACAGGGAATCAGGCTTACTCTGCTCACCTCTCTAGCTTTAACAGCACAAAGTCTGCTTCAACTATCAAGGCACCCCGGAAATAGCGGGTCACATGAGAGTGACAAACATACAAAAGAAGTAGAGGAAAAATGACGACAGTAAAGAGTAGGAAAGGAAAAGCAGCAGTTCCCTCTTGCAGTGTAGGCAGTCATGAGCATGACATTGATGAATCAACACATTTACAATTCTACTGTGCATAAGAACATGTTAATGTCCCCCCTTTGGGAATGGTCTAAAGACACTTCAGTAAGTAACATCCCGAGGGGGGCGGGGTGCGCGCGACAGAAGTTTGATAGGAAAGAATGATCAACAGTCTCTAACCAGAATCACCAGCTCAACCCCCCCCCCTAAAAAAACAAAAAATAAAAAACACAAAACAAACAACAACAAAGAAAATTAAATAACTCTCAAGTGCCCTCCATCACTCCTACATTCATTCACTAAATCGGCCCTGAGAAGGCCTAGGCCCTGC